TACTTTGTTGTAGGCATTCACCAGCCAATTTTGCAACATAGGTAAGATATGTGTCGACGTTCTTTTAAAAGAACCCACTCATCAAAACATCGATCTTCCGTTTTAGTGAGTAACAAAGAAAGGAAGAATCAAAAACTGCTTAAAAATTTCTTTTTCATTTTTATTACTTTTATATGGTTGATACATAATAAACGATATTGCTGTTTAAATGACATCCCATAAATTTTCCGGTACTTCAAATAGTTCTGACTTTGGGAACCTGATAGACTAGTAGATTCAAGTACATAACCTTCCAAATATTTATTTACATCCGGGTTAGAGGTGTTCTTGGGTTTCGGGCTGCGATGAACAGCGCTCGGATTTATCCTCCCAGCAGGGGCTCAAAGGTGTCTGAAGTTTCCATTTTGACGCAAACGCTAACCAAACCAGGAGCCACCGCCATCCTGGTGTCAAACCAGTCCCAAGGCGGCAAATCTTCTTCCCTCTGAACCACAACAGCCGGCGACTGCCAGTTGTAGTGACGACATGAAGAAGGTTTAGGCTATGGCGTCCTCGGGGCTCCGGTGGACCTCTGATAGTTCAATTAGGAATGAAGCGGCTTTAACAACTCGGACACTGGACGCTCCCGCCTACGACTTCGGGCGTGAGGTAACCGGTGAAGACGATGGAATCTCGACTTTCATAGGGCGTCATTGGAAACGGCCAAAACGAACGCGCTCACGACACGGTATGGAAAGTGCATCCTCCTTTGTACCTATAACAGCAGCAAGCATCGTCAGACGCCGATCTTCACACGCTCTTCTTGAGTCCGCAGATCGCGCCAAATACAATATGATCACCCTACAAGAGGCGAAAAGCAGGTAGACCGACATAAATTTCCGTTGCGAAATGCTGATGGCGTTGATTTTGTCTTAGAGCCATCAATTTCCCATCTAGCCACCTCATACGAAATCGCATCACCATTCTTAGTCATTCTTCGTCTCTATCTTCCGCGTCAAAAGAAAATCACTTCCTCCAATTGCTAATAACCAATTTGTACAGCTGATGATAGGGAACTGGAACCGTTCTAAAACTAGTTGGAGAAAGCAATCCGCGACGAGAAGTCCTTCAACAAATTCGTTGTTGGGGACCCCAATGTCAGATTGAAAACGACCAACGAAAATTAGTAAAGGGCAAGAAAATTCCGAATAGGAGAATGAAATGAAAATAGAAATCATCTTCTAGGAGTCCCGTCTACGGCACGTTTCTTTCATGGTAATTAATTTTTCGAGAAGAGAAAAAGTGGCAGATGGAGATAGAATTCTCTTAAAAGCACCAATTCAAGCTGAAATCGACCAAGTTCTTACAAAGAGAACACGATGCCTCTTTGACACCTCATTGGTGTCTGGATTCTGTACTGATCACGGCCTTCTCTGTGCTAAGATTTAATTCAGCTATAAGCTGGGAAACAACTATAATCGTCCAACAAAAAGAAAAACACTGTGGATAAGAAGGATATTCTCAATAAAATCCTTTCCTTATATGACTGACAGATGAATGAGGGCCTGACCCAGGACTACACACAACTTATCGAAGGGCTTAAAGCTTGTGAACTCGCTTCAACAACGCAAACAAGAAGTTCAAGCCACATGTCCATTACCACTAAGGAGTTAACCGAAGTGAGAACATTGAAGCTCAATCCTACTCCAACACACCTAACACCGCCGATATGCAGAAAAGGTTATTAGAAGCAATTGAAAAACGATCCAGTCTGAAGAAGTGTCGTTAGGTCTGCGGCCATTATAATATTCCACAATCCGCCCTGATTAACGAAGATGGGAATATCGCTGTACACCGTCATGATTTGGAATTAGTAACGGAAAGGTTCGGCTCGAACCCCGAAATCTCCGCTGGTGAAAAACCACCCAGGATTTTACACTCGGAAGGTTGAGTTTTGATAAAGAAAAGAGCATAAATGTGTAAAATATGCATAGAGAGAGAGAGAGAGAAAGAAGGGGCGCATGGCGCAACGATTAGATGTGCCCTGCAATGCACTGGATCAGTGCGTGGTTCGATCCAGCGCTCAGGGCTCATAAACCTTGCCATCCCTACGAGCTTGACAGATTGGTGCCAAACTTATCTGCGAGGATAGCAGCCGATTCTATCAGAAAGGCTAAGTAAGAGTGAACCAATACCAGGATCCACCACCGTCCTGGTATCAAAGTCGCATGGTGGTAAATCTCCCTCTGAACCACAAGGGCTACGACTGCCTGTGGTGGGGCAGACTCTAGCCAAACTGACCTTGGTATTCCATGGAACCACAATGGCTTAACCATCAAATCTCCGAAAAATAGAGACTATGCTGAGGCCCACACAACCAGTGAGGACCGGCCGTTCAAGTATTCATGTAAGTATATAAAACATATATATGTATATATCAGAATGGCAAGTAGAGCGCAGAATTCAAGTGATCTCATCCATCAAGAAACCGTGACAGTTCAATCAGGAACATGGCTTCCAAGAAGAACTACTGTCTTTGAAGAAATGTATTTGTAACCAAACATCTCTCTTTTATCCACAGCGCTAGGCAACCATCTGCAGTGCCGACCGTGGAAAATGGGTTAATTTCATCTTCCAACACAGCATAATCGTCAGTTCTGACATCTGCACTAAGGAGACAGACTGCATGTTTAGGTATAACGTGCCTCCGTCGAACGAATTTTGTGAAGACTCTAGTGCCTACGATTTCTACACAGCAGAAACTCAGCAGTGCGACGATACTGACCAGTGCTTGAAGCTGTCCATTACTCAGAAAGGTGAGAGTTTCTTCAATGATCTAATTTATAAAGGCCGTTTCAAAAATCGGGTGGTGAAACACTATGCAATTCCACTGGCACATACAATTCATATAAGGCCACCGCGATTCTCCAAAATCACGGAAAAAAAGCGAGAATAAGCTTCATTCGATTGCTGTTGCCAAAAATGGACTCTTTATTGAAGAAAAATAACTTTCAAGCAGACATTCACGTTACCCACAATAACGTCGTAATCACAAAATAGGTTAACTCGACCGTTTATATTTTTTTAACACAAAGGTATTTCAGTAAAAGCTCCACTGGTAGACTAAGAAGACTACAATAGACAAACGCCTAGAAGACCACGCGTGAACAAACGCTTGACGAGATCTGAAATGACTCAGATGAACAAAGTGTCCGTGTTCACAAAAATCGTCTTTATTAGGAATTCGGGTCTCTGATGATGCATGAACCAAACTGGTTCCTGAAATTATAGAGCACATAAAGCTGCTCGGATTCCACGCTAAACGCAGTGCCTAGTTATTCATTCATGAACAACCCAATGTAGACAAAATTTGATAAGATGGACAGTTGTAAACAGCTTCCTAAGATTACTTGCTTACCTGGATACTTGGATGGCCCGCCTTCCCTGGTCGTGCGGGCTCCAGCATAATTCCCATTATTTCGGAGTTTTGTTGGCTTAACCATTGTGGTTCCATGGAGTCTCAAGGTCAGCCTAGTCAAAGCCTGCCCCAGCTCTTCACTACCACATTCAGTCACCGGCCTTGTGGATCGGTGCGAAATTTGCCATTAAACAACTAGTTCGATGCCAGGACGATGGTGGATCCTGGTACTAGTTTGTTTACCCCTAGCTGGACTTCCTGATGGAAGCGCCGAATTCCTTCTCAGCCTGGAAGGCCCTGCTGGAGCGATGAATCCCCGCCTTGTACATCGCAGCCCGACACCCAGGAACAAATCCCACCCACGATGAGGCGGTTAACCGTTAGGGTGTTCTTTGAGATTAAAATTTAAGGAAATTAAAATCGCGCTAACATTTCAAAATGTTGTTTAAATGAGACGAATTGCTCATCTGATAACATTCTGACATGTTACCCTTTTCGGATAAATACCAGATAATCTTGAAGATGGACTTGATCTTGCATATTGTTTCACTGCTACTGCGAATCTTTCCAGAACAGTTTAGCCAGTAAAATCTCATCTGTGGCCAATAAATCTTTGTAGGTACTTAATAAAATGCTTTAAAGCTTAGTTCCCAGAAGTTGCAGTTATTCCAGATCTGTCGTTCGTTATGCGTGGCTGTCAAAGTAAAGTTCTTCGTTCGAGTTACTATCTCAGCCATGAGATTCCCTGCAGCAATGACGGTCCTTCACAATGCCTTTGTGACACTAATTTATGCAATATTTCACGTTGTCCTAATATCCTTCTTTCTTTCACTATATTGTATCTTGTAAATAGATTAGTCTCTTAGAATTTAACTAGAGAATATCAACACCGAATTGCAAGGAAGAAATTTATTCGTGATACTCAGCAATGAAATTTACTGCCAATTCAACAAACACCAAAGACACTCTTCATTACCACGTAAAAAAAATGATGATTTGTCATTATTTAAAGTGAAGGAGAGATAACTGAATACTACGGATCTTCAACACTAACACCCGGAACGCGATTTCATAATGGAGAGGAAGTTACGCACATCCCAATCCTAAATTATTTAGAAGTACAAGAGGAATATATGCGACCAACTAAATACAATCAGGGCATAAATAGAAATTTAAAAAGAAAAACAAGAATCCCACAAATACTTGCACGACATAGGTCGATTCTGCTTCTGCTTTATGGGCTCAATGCCGCTATCTAAAGGATATGGCTGCGTTGAAGTTCTTCATAAAGCAAAAGCTAGCCAAAAAGTGGAAGCAGAATCAACCTATACCTCAGTTGGTACGAATGAGAACAGGCAATACGATGACTTACACAACAGTTCTCACTTAGCGTAGCACCGTTATGAACGATCTGCACAGTCACCTTCCGATTAAATTTCAATCCATGTAACAATTTCGGAGTAAGCCTATTAATACAAAGAGAAGTCCGACTAATGATGAAGATGAGAATAAAAAATCCAGAAATTAGACTTTGTTGCACCTGGACGAATCCCAGTACAGCCAATTCGTGAAAAGCAGAAACAATAAGTAGATAGGAATAAACTTACAAAAAGTACTGAGTCTTAGCCAGATTCCCCTCGCCACTCAAGGTATCTACAATAATATTAAACACCTTCCGTTCGTTCACCGGATCCATCCCTGTAATTGTAGATCTACAAAAATGGGAACTACAGAAAAATGTGATGTGACATTAGGAAGAAGACATGACTCATTATTCCACTCGAGAATTTTTCTAACACATTACTAACAGCGTTCATGTCGCAACGTCATATTAAAATGAAACAAAACCGTACTGATACCCACCCTGATTTATTTCGTCCACACATCGAAAAGGAACAGGGCATAGTTCCTGCAGCGCCAACAAATACAACATAGTGGAAACACTACGTTCACCTCCAGATTGAACCTTAGCATAGATCGTTTTCTTCAAAACAACCAAAAAACAGCTACTACTTAACATACGTACCTGGTGATTTAAACGCTTCAGACGTTCACCAGAGCGAAAACTAACCATTATCATAATACCATATTCGGCTATATTGAGCTAAAATAGATTTTCCAAAAATCAGCTTTAACAAACCATAAAGGGTTACGACACCGGATCTTCTGGCCTATCCAGATACACTTCTCCAGCGCATCCTATTTGAGCAAAGAACTTGGAATAGTTGACATTGATGTTTTGAATGAGCTCCTCGATAGGCTCCCTCCATTCTATGATCTCCTTAAAAATTATTGAACAACATCAGTGAACTAAAGAAATTCGCAGCAAAAAAGCAAACTGTTCCAAGTAGTAGTAAATAATGCGACTACCTTCATCAAGCTGGCTTTCCACTCCTCTCTCGTAGCCTCCTGCTGCTCTCTACGACTTACCAAACTGATCTTTTCTCCTTTCAAGAATTCATAACGGTCAAAATCCTGGAAGTTACATCGCTAAAAATATGCAGCTATGATGTGAAAGAAAAGAAAAACCCACCTCCTTGCTTCCGTCTACAGTTGCCAACCTGAGCTTTATTTTTTCCTCTTCAAGAAGTTGAAGAACCATTGACATATCGTCTGGTATGTGCTCATCTATGAACAACTGGAATACTACGTGCTTGAACTTATGAGGTCAAACAATCTAACTAGCATCTTCCCAACAATGTGCCTCGTTTTTGATGCAAAGGTGAACGAAGTCTTGAAGTTTTCCAATAAAAAGAAACAACCGAGCTTTTTTTAATGAATTTTTGTGGCAAAATGATATGACTAGAAATACTAGACATGTTTCGAAGCAAGGGATCTGTATGCGTCCTGTATGACGCACTTCACTTCGAATTATTTCACTGAGCCTTTTCTCATTGAAACACGGAGATTGTTATTAATTCGCATATGTAAATTGTATATGGGAGCGCTTTCGTCTGCATGACTCACTTAGTAATCATGTTGTATGGAATTGTGTTAATTGAAACAAAATATTGCAGAGTCAAACACCCTTACCAACTGCTTTATCATCACAGAACACGATGATTTCTCAAACTGTATTGATGGTACTGGCTATAGCTGTACATGTATTTAAGAAATTAAAAATTCCGTTATTGTTAGGACTCTTTAGCTTTTAATTAAAGAGCATAACAAAATTAATAACTTGTATAATGCTGAGATATTTGCAAAACTCCGGACCGCAGGTGTCTGCCAAGACAGAGGGGAAACGAAAGACCCGCATGGTGTAGTGATGAACGCATTACTCCCCGGAAAGGACAATAGCGTGTTCGTTCCCCACCGCCGACACCTGCGGTCCGGAGTTTTGCAAATATCTCAGCATTATACAAGCTATATTTCGCAACATACCGTGCCATTAAAAAGGACAGGCAGTAAATAAAAAAAGGTTAAGAAAATTAATAACCTTCAAAAATATACATGCACCTGAGGTGATAAAACAAGATCTCTTCTTCAGTTTTTCTGTACTCAAATACGCCTATTAATAATCCAACCATGCCGCTTCTGCCTATGCCTATTAACATAGTAAGATATTTTCTCTTTAGCTTTGCCAAATTCTCACGTTGCTAATGGTTAAAAGGGTTCGGCATTCATCGAAAAAGCACTAAACTGATGGAATCATCGAATCCAAAACTTTTACTAGTTGTCTACGTCCTCTACGAATTCGCCCACATGAGCCATTTATGACTCGTGCACGCCCGGAAGTAATTTCAACACTGCAAACACAATGCAGTTAATGGTTGAATTCATTAATTTTTAAATGAATAATGAATTGCAAAGTTTAAAAACAAATGAAATAAAAAATTGAATAAAATAAATTGAAAGACATATTGATCTACAGAATACTAACGAGATATGACTTCCCCACTCCACAAAAATACGACAAAAATTCCTTGAATTCAACAAACGGTATTTCTCGGATTCGTCTCTTTTACGTCGAAGCACGTAATTCTGATAGCTAAGCGATTGAAGCTATGAGATTTAGTCCAGCAAGAGACCATGGTGTACGTCAGTGCCATTGCTACTTTAAGTCGTCGCTCTTATGCCACGAAATTCGAAAGCATAGACTTCGCCATAGCCAAAGAAAGGGTGATAACGTGTTCGTTCCTCACCGCAGATACCTGCTGTCCGGAGTTTTGCAAATATCTTAGCACCACTATGGCTGTATTTCGCAAATTACCCTACCGTGAAAAATTGTATTAGGCAGCAAATAAAAAGTTAACAACACAGACTTCGTTTCTATGTTGCAAACTTGGATTTTGGGTAAGTTTAAAACTAAAGTAACATTTTACAGAAAACAATTAACACCTAAACGCAAAAAGAAAACCAAAAAGATGACCAGAAATACGCGCTGCACTAGTACACCGCAATGTAGCGAGTGATACGGACCATCGCCAATGTGATAAAGAACTTTCAGAAACAAAACATGACAAGGAAAAAAGGCAAAGGAAGGACGTATCTCACCTTTTCAAGACACTCCAGAATCTCCTTCTCTTTTGGAGTCATCTGTTCCAGATTCAAAGTCTTCACACCGCATTTGTCGTGAAGACATTCAGTCATTCCAATAAGATCACGTTTTACACAGAGGAACGATTCAACATGCCTTTGCAATGATGACTGGAATTTGTAGTAAAGGTCATAAATACACCACGGTAATGAACCAACAAAACAAACTCTGTTTTCCTGAAGCTTCTCTTCAAGATTTTGCAAATCCTTTTCAAATTTTGTTCCTTCATCTCGTAATTGTTTCAGTGTCACTCTCAGAAAACATTCCCTTATGGACGCCACGCGTAGTTTTTCCTGAATAAATCAATGAGATAATTAAAACAGCTAATTTTGTAGGACGAGCAGAAAACAATTTACAATACCAATTTGCATAACAACTTCAGTGTAACTTTGTAGACTTCTCTAGCAGCAGTGATTTTGGCTTTACTTAGATCAGCAGCAGCTTGGTTAATGTCCGGCCGGTTAGCTAACAGGTCCTCAATTCTAAACGGATAGAGAGATGCAAAAACTCAACGTAACTTTACGAACACAATAGAGGCATATAGCAGAAAAACACGAGCACATAGGAGCACAAGACACTATACCAGGTTTTCGTTCCAAATAAAAACTGAATAAATAAACTATTTACTTTCTTTCACGACTATGTAGAGAACGTTCCAAATCCCATAACGCATCGCGACGACTCCTCCACTCAGCCTAAAATAAACGCTACATTTCACTTGAATCACATTTACGTTACTAAAATAAAACGATAAATTGAAAAGCAAGGTTTTATATTGAATTTTCAACATAATTTGTGCGAAATCTAAAATCCCGTTGTTATCTCCAAAAAACACTCCCAAAGATTTACCGCTTCACCACAGCTAGCAGGTGCACCTGGGTACGAACTGCGATGTAAAGCAGAGGTTCATCCCGCAGCAGGGCCTCCTGAGCTGAATGTCCGACGTTCCCATCCGGACGCGCAGTTAAGAGTAAACTAAAACGAGGAATCACCACCGTCTTGGTGTCAAACTAGTGACAAGATGGTAAATCTATTTCGTAAAGACCACCGATTGCCCATTGTGGTGACGACCTGAGAAACACTTTTGCTAGGCTGACTTCGGAACTCCAAGAAACAACAATGGTTAAACCAGTAAATCTCACTCTTTAGCACCCAGCAAACTGGGCGCTCCCGTTTACGACGTCGAGCGGTAAGACTTCCGGTGACAGGCGATCAAACCGCGGGTTGAACAGGGCGTCACTGGAAAGGCACAAAATGAGCACGCCCACGATTTATAACACCAGAAAATCTCGTCAGACAAAGGTCATTACGATATTCTTGAGTCCACTAGCCACATAAAATTCAATAAGATCGCCCCACGAGACAAGAAAAGCAGTAAGACCGACATAAATTTCCGTTGCGAAGTATCGGTGGCGTTGATTTTGTCATACACCCATCCGTTTCCCATCTAGTCACCTCATACGAAATCGCATCATCGCGTTCGGCCATTCTTCGTCTCCAACTCCAGCGTCAAAAAAGTCACTTTCATCAACTGCTAATAACGAACTTGCACAGCTGATGAGAGGAAACTAGAACCGTTCTAAAACTAGTTGGAGAAAGCAATTCGCGACGAGAAGTCCTTCAACAAATTCGTTGTTGGCGACTCCAATGTCGGATTGAAAACGATCAACGGAAATGAATAAAGGACAAGACAATTCGGACTAGGAGAATGAAATGAGAATAGAAATCATCTTCTAGGACTCCCGTTCACAGCATGTTCCTTTCATGGTAATTAATTTTTCGAGGAGAAAAAGTGGCGGCACATGAAGATGGAAATCTCTTAAAAGCACCGATTTAAGAAGAGACCGACCACATTCTTGCAAAGAGAACACGATGCCTCTTTGATACCTCATTGGTGTATGAATTCTGTACTGATCACGACCCTCTCCGTGCGAAGATTTAAATCAGCTATAAGCTGGGAAACAACTATAGTCGTCCAACAAAAAGGAAAAAATCGTTCATGACAAGGATATTCTCGAAGCTGAACACAGATAGGTTCGTCAGATAATAAAAAGATGAGAAGACAGAAGGCCGAAAAGAATGGTGAAGTGAACAAGTGGACTCCAAAAGAATGCAGGCGCCTTTTTATTCACGAATGCTGGGGCCCGCAAAGCCAGTAAAAAGGCATCCATGTAACCAAGTACCTAAGCACCAAAAACTGGCCTGCACACACTCATCTGAAAACAAATACTAGCAATTTAATATTCCAAACCTGTTGTGCTTTTAATTCCTCCTTTTCCGCTTGAATTTTAGTTCTAGACTGATTCATCTGTTGACGGCGATTGCGTAAATCAGCTTCCTAGAAAAAGCTCTAAAGCTGTGCATCGTGAGAACGAATTAAACCCACGGAGTTAAATAACATGATCAAAATTTTCACTCACTCTATAAAATACTGGGATCATCCTTATTATAAATGCTTACCCAATCACGAATACGTTGCGCCTGATCATGAAATCTACTCTTATCATCAAGTTGCTTGGAATGACTAGTGAATATTCGAGCGGGTGCTTTCAATTCGCTTTGCTGTCCAAGCATCTCATGAGAACCATACTTGGAAACTGTGAATTGCACCTGAAACGGCACAAATCCACACTGTAAGTTCTAAGCAATAGAACTCTTAATCCCCCTTATAAAAACAGACCCTATACTTATCCGTAAGGTACAGCCGATACGCATTCTTCAGAAAGATAGTCCTTATTGTGTCATATAAATCGTTTGTCTTTGATGATCCAATCGGAACCTGATGCAGCTGAAAAGAAATTCTTTTCTCCAAAAAACCTCTCTTCATTATGAAGGGATACCTTTGCTACATTGCACAAATATTGTTTAACAACATCGACCGAATCGAACAAGTCCACAGCAAAATGAGTGAATCCCAACTCCTCCATTTCAGGCGTCAACCTTGTTTTCAGAGAAGATACATCAACCTAAAAAAGACTAGATTTCCTTGCTAAGAAAAAACTATGCAGAAGAATGAAAGGAAAAAAGAAGAAACCCAACCGACCATAATGAACAATCCCGTTGAGAACACCTTGTCGAACACTTGTCTTCTTTTTTAGAAAAGCAATGGTGTACCACTCGTTAATAAGCTACTCAACCAAGCATTTGCCAGACATGGCAAAACGCTAAACTTACTTTAATACTAGAATAGCCCGTCCTCACTGGTTGAGCGGGCCCAACATGATCTAAACTTTTCGGAAATTTACTAGTTCAGCCATTATAGTTCCTTGGAATTCCGAGGTCAGCTAGGCCAAAATCTGCCCCAGGTCTTCACCATGACAGGCAGTTGCAACCCTCCTGGATTTAAGAGAGATTTGCCACCATGACTTTAATACCAGGACGGTGGTGGATCCTGGCATTGGTTTACTCTTAGCTAGGCATGCTGATGAAAACATGTAACTCCTTCTCAGCTTGGAAGATCTCCCAGGGGATGAATCCCCCGCTGTACATCGTAGCCCGACACCCAGGAACACCTCCCGGCCACGATGAGGCGGTAAACCCTTGGAGGAAAACGCTAAACGTGTCCTTGAATAATCATAATCTATGACTCGCTAAAATACGCAGATAGTTCTGTTAATATCTACACATCATGTTTACTTGTAATTTTTTTCCATATAGTCTCAACATCTACTGCGAGGATCTAATCACTTCTCGAATTAGATTCATCTATACGTATCCATCATTTCCACGTATTCGTTCCATCATCCAAACTTCCATTCCACCAAGTTCATTGATTTCGCTTTTGGGACTGCGTAAGGACTTTCATCCCGGATGCGCTCTAATGTCGATCGAATCGATCCTCCATGGAGTCGTGCGATAGGCGTGCTACAGCGTCTCACGTGGATATGAACGAGTGCGTTATGGACATACAGATCAGGTACCGATTTAGCGGACCCGGATTGATGGAAGGCATTGTGGACCCGATATGCACTATATTTAAAAACAGGATAAAGCTCTCGGCGTTTATCAATCTCTGAGGGCTGCGCCATGTATTCGACAACACTAAGCATAGTTTGGAGGTGATTGAATGCACATTTGGCCTTTACAATGACTCCCGGTGGCCTAACAATGTATTGAGTCAGTGCTGCTATCCTCCTAAACAAGTCTGGTAGCAATTTGCCGAATCCGGAGAGACATAAGGCTTAGTGGACCAGGGGCGCGGGAATCGATCCCGCGTGAATTGCAGGGCGCCTCCGACCACTGCGCCACAAACTGAGTGGGAAATATTACTGTTATTAATTAAGTCGAGCAGATCTACATAATCTATGACTAAACGTTTTTAAATTTCATCTTGAAACTACAATTTCAACACTTAAATCATGGTCCTTATATGCTTGTATCTTTTTCCGATATCGATACTTGCAAACCATTTCAAACATTTTAGACAAGTCTTGCCTCGATGTGATGAATCCATATTTTTTTTTCTTTTCGATATCCCCAAGTTTTCGCTAATATCGCCCGCCGGACATCCGCTGTTAAATATCGACGACCGTACAAACGGCTACTAACCAACTACCATTCCAAAGAACATAGTTCAAGCACTGCTGTGAATCTTTCAGATTGCTGGCGGTGCTTTGCTTACGCAAATCATTGAAGAAGCCAAAAAAGCAGTGCGAATAGATCACAAGTAAACAACCTCATTTTATAAAACATAACCCAAGGAATAACATTTCTAGAGCATCCTAAGTTACTACCTGTGATGGAGGAATAACAGTAGAGTTGAGTTTCCAACTGTGTCTTCGGTCCGTCAGAAGCGCCTCGTCTTCCTTGCAACCAAAGATGAACATTGGCAGATCTCGAAAAGCTATCAGATTTTCTAGCAACATTGCAGATCGAGCATCAGGAACTGTCATCTGGAGAAATGAGCAACACACAACTGCTATAGATGGGAACACTACTTTACTATAAACAAACATGTAGAACGGGCACAAACACTGGATAGCGAAACTTGTCACGATTCCCTTCATACCATCTCCAAGCTTCATCAGCCATATTTATGCGCAAATTCCCAAGAATACGAAGACGGGTTTTCATAGCTTCGCTGATATTCCTCTCTTCATCACGTAATCCTGAATAAAAAAGAACAGTGGTGCCTTGAGCTCACGAGGTGAGAGTATCCCAGTATAAAAAATTACTGAACAGAAAGAAAGATGAGAGACACCCACTGTTTTTTTCCATGGATAATTTTCTTTCCTCAGCAGATAAATCATCTTCCATACGACAAAGGTTCTCGTCATCTTCAGTGCATTTCCGAGCTCTCTGGGAAGCTTCTTTCTTGAACTCCTATAAGACAATAAAAGCTAAAGGATAAAGCTTTTCATTTTGATCAATCTCTGAGGGATTTGCCATGCATTCGGCTTCATTAAGCATTTTTGGAGGTCACTGAATGCGCAGTTGGCCTTTACAATGGCTCGCAGTGGCCTATCGGTTTCCAGAAAGTGCTGCTATCTTCCCAGGCAAGTTCGGTACCAATTTACCGACCCCGGAGGGATAGAGGGGATGGTGGGTTTGGGAGGCGGGGACCGATCCCATTTGTGTGTTGCAGGCCGCTTCCGGTCACTGCGATAAACGCGCCCATCAATGCCCTTCATATAAGACAATATGGTTGGAAAAAGCTGTCGCAACTGCGACAACACAACTAGACAGCTAACCTCATAACCCTTCATCCCTTCTTTTGCTGCAACAACCTGTTCTTGAACACGATCTCGCTGGTTTTTCATCTGACTCACTTCATCCTTCCAATTTTCTTTTGAAATCTTTACGCGATCAAACTGCTCTAGTGCGCTACGAATCTGCAAAACGAATAGTCCAGTTAGAGATAGTGTACACAACCTTAACGGCAATAGAACTTAATCACCTTTTCAGAATAGAGATTTTTGTTCCTTAACGCACTAACTTCACTTGTAACTTCACGGATTTGGCGCAACTGGAAATAGAAGCTTAGGGTGTTGAGCAAACGCGCATCGAATAAGCTGCTAAGAAAAGCACTAACGACTTCTTTGTGGTCTGCTCCATGTTCATTTTCCTTCGCTGTTCTTTTCTCATTCTCCTTGCATAAATCTTCTACCTGAACAGAATGGAATAATTGATGATTCTGAGCCAAAAACAATTTTCCAATGAAACAGTGCTATACGGCACTTCTGAAATGATTTCAATAGTGAAAGACTCACCTGCTTTTCCGCATCATTGACAACAACTTGCAATTTAACTACAACTCCTTTAGCTGCTGCGTAATTCTTCATACATTCATGGAAGTCCTTAACAAAAAACATGTGGTTTTTAAAATAACAATAAAAAGATAAAGTGTGACGCATTCGACGTTGATCAAGCTTTGAGGGATTTGCCATGCATTCGACTTAACTAAGAATCGTAGGTGACTGAATGCATATCTGGGCTTTATAATGACCCGCAGTGGCGTTCGATATATCGAGCCAGTGCTGCTATCCTCCCAAACTGGGCTGGTACCAAATTGCCAACCTAGGAGAGACAGAAAGCTTGGTGAGCTACGATGACGGGGGTCGATCCCATGGGCGATGCAGAGCGCTCCCGACCACTGTGTTACACGCGCCCTTTTCAATAGAAAAACTACAATACCGGATTAAATAGCTACCAAAATCGCCTTCTTTTTCCCCAGAATCTCAATCTTTGTTCGAAGAAACTCTTTCTTCTTGTAGTTTTCAACACGATGGGCCAGAAAAGCCAACTCTCCTGCAAACAGAGACAATAAACAAATAAAAATCTTATATCGACAATGATAACATGCCGTCGACAGCTTCCAGACGTTGTTGCACTTCACGAGCGTTTTCGATGTGGACAGTTTCAAGCTTCTTCTTCTTGATCAGTTCTTCGTGTTTTTCCAACAACCGTGGGTTGCCGGCCTAAATTTGTTGCACAAAAACAGTGCCGAGAATGGAATGCTCAATTCTAATACACATGAAAGCAAAACATGAGACCCTGGCGACCGGTAAAAAGAATAAAAGGATAAAGCACTCGGCGTTGATCAATCCCTGATAAAGCACTCGACGTTGATCAATCCCTGAGGCATACGTCATGCATTCGGCCTCATTAAGCATGGTTGACGGTAATTAAATGCACATCTAGCTCCTACAATGACTCGCGACGGTTCATCGATGTTTGGTGGGTCAGGGGCGTAAAAATCGATCTCGTGTGTGTTGCACGGCGCCTCTGACCACTGTGCCACACGAGCCTTCTAGCAAACGGTAATATAAAAAAGCGTGCAGAAGAACAGGACGAACCCTTTCTGTATTGATTAGCAGATCCACAGCACTCTGCTCGGAAAAACTCTTCACCTTGTCTTGAGCAAGGAACGTACATGGGTTATCAACCTAAAGAAAGCTGAGCGCTAAAAGGATACTTGAGCATATTCGGTCTAATCACCACGAGAGTAGACGGATAAAAGGCAACAAAACGACAAAGAAACTTAACTGAATGTTGTATGAGGCGACAAGATCGCGCACTGCGCGTTGGGTTACCCTGGATCCATTTATGAAGTACGTGCAACTATTAGGTCTTTGAAGAAGAATCTTCACCCTTTGCTCTCCATTTTGGGAGTCAGCTCTATAAAGGGAAGCAACATGATGGAAGGAAAGAAGAGTTAAAGAATCGAAGGCCATGATTGGGGGAATCGGCACTCCTAAAGACAAAAACACCCACATAGAGAGCTCTACAAAGCCCTCATCCCGCTTATGCTTGATGTAGTCTCCTATTCTCTCGGATCGGCCAAGAACATTCGGATTTCCACCGACAGCTAGACAAATTCCACATATCACTGTGCTCTTGCCAGCTCCGTTAGGACCAATAAAAACATTGAGATTCGGACCAGGTTTGCATTCGACATTATCGTACGTTCTGCAAATTTCACTCAACCGGAAACAACTTCTAATTACTACTTTGTAAGGAAAGACTTACAGAAAGTTGTGATAGACGATCCTCGTGATTGATCCATCAGGAAACACGTCGTCTGGCAAATCAGCCATCTCGCTAGCGGATTCAGCATTGTACATCGGAAGTGACCCCTCGCCACGGCGCAAACTTTCGACTTCGCGCTAATTATTCAATTAGAGCACGTTTTATTCCACAGGTCGAATGACATGGTTGGCTAGTAGGGTACACTGGTTTTTCTGTCATATAGTTTCTGACCTTCCATCCATTTCTACGAAAGTATGACTAGGAATGGTGAAAAAAGACAAAAAAACCCCACCGCATTTCTGCCATTTAAAAAAATTCCGGGATCTTTCCACCTTACTGCTAGAGCAAATACGCCGTATACTTGATGCTTGTTACTTGAACGGTCCGTCATCACTGGTTGTGCGGCCTCAGCATAATTTCCATTGTTTCTCAGTTTTTCGGGTTCAGCCATTGTGGTTCCCTGGAGTCCTGAGCTCAGTCTGGCCAAAGTCTGCCCCAGGTCGTCACCACCCCAGGCAGTTGCCGTCCTATATCAGGGGAAGATTTGCCACCATGAGACTAGTTTAGTACCTGGTGGTGGTGGATCGTAGTATTGGTTTACTCTTAGCCGGAGTTCCCGGCGGAAACATCGGACTCCTTCCAAGCTTGGGAGACACTACTGGGGGGATGAATTTCACCTGTTGTGCATCCCAATCCAGCACCTAGAAGCACATCCCAGCCACGATGAGGTGGTAAGCCGTTGGAAGCAGCAGTTTCAGCACCCAAAATCTTCCCTACATTTCTAACGATGGGAGTTTAGAATTAAATAAATGCCTTGCAGTGTGAAGAAACGTCTGAAAATTGTTGTGGAACAAAAGTAGTTCATTGGAAAAGATCCTCTTCAGTACCAATCCACAGGAAGGAGGTCAAATTTGCCTTTCGCTAATTCTTTATATACACATTTATTGAATCGCAGTCTATTATTTATAAACATTTGTTCATATAAAGCCTTGAACAGCTCGTCAGAATTTGGTACGAAAACTTAATCAACCAGAGAGGCAACCATTCGGACTGGAGGTCAGTGATTGCGACTGCGTCGTCGTGTGGTGCGCGATGACGGCAGCCTGTAGACCATCTTCCGGATAGGAGCTCTCCTTTGCACCAAGTGTCTCGCCGAGACGCCCATCGCCCTGAATCGAAACATCACTAGGTTCTAAGGTGGCACCCAAAGCATTCTTAGCTACATCAATCTTTTACTTTATTGTTTTCAATCTTCCGTACGCTTAAAGCCCACTCAGTGGCGAAATTCTACTCATAGGCGAACGTGTAGCAGCCGATACAGGTGTCCTCTAATACATTCTAGATAGATTGTTGGTTCGATCTGGTGCCCACTGACTCGATACATCGATGGACCACCATAAATCACCAAACCTTCCAACCCTCTGAGTTTGATAAATTGCTACCGAGACTGTCTGCGAAGGTAAGAGTCCTGACTTGATACGATGCTTGATGCGCGAGTCCTAGCACTTCTTTCATTCGATTCGTTCCCTCTTCATCTATCAATCACGAAATTCTTCGAAATATTTTTTGTGTTGGTTCGATTGCCGTCTGAAGATTTTTTCTTCTTCGTTATGAATGTCGTCCAATATTGGATAAATGAACTCCCTGAAGAAGACTCCGATAGCCGAGCTAGGGCGTTCCCACGTGCATCGGAGGGAGTGCACTTGTCTCAGACAACTCTGGTATCAGTTTTCCGACCCCGGAGGGACAAGAGACTTGGCAACCGCGGTGCGGGGTCAAACCAGCATTGTGCTCGCGATAAACGGCATCATAACCATTGTGCTAACTCCGTCCTTACTTTCGGCTATACAAGCCAGTAATTTTTTTCTGCATATTTGTGCACTTTCTACCATGATTACGTTCGTTCGTTAGACCTTTCCACCTATCATCCTCTGTGGAACAAGTTTTTCATACTCGACACTTCAACGAAGAACTAGTTTCATCTATTTTCGTAAAGAAGAATCGTTCCAGTTCTTGACTGGAGAGGATCACACAGAATGTTCAAGAAATGCCTATTTATTATATTCGCTACAACAACTCTGTAGTGTTTGCATACCGAAGCCACTCCTGCATTTCTTTAAAAGATGAAAGTCTAAAGTGATCAGCGTTGACTACTAAATACTTCGGTAGCGTGCACTGTACTCGGCTTCCAGTGTGAAGATGTTTGAATACGCATTTGATCTATACAATGAATTTTGACCGGCATCAAGTCAGCATTATAATCTTTCCAGACAGGCATGCTATCAATTGGCCACCCTAGAGCGATGAGCTTGCCGGGCTTCGGTGAGAGATCGAACCAACGGCCTGTGTATCACAGAGTTCTTCCAACCACTGCGCTACACGTCTGCAGTTCTATGGGTGTACTAAAGTCCAGTGTTTTGAAAGGTGTATGAAACACTTCGATATTTTTTGAATGTATTTCGGCGAATTTTATTTCCCTTCCGTCAAATGATTTAGAAAATTATAAATGAGGAACCTTAGCACCAAGTTGAGATCCTTTTGTTGTTGCATGGTGAGATCTAGAACTCTTCCATTCTTAATAACGATCAGATTTGAAGTATTCTGTGTCTCGATGGCCTGTGGAACTGTAGCCGTTCGGATAAAAGGTTTCTGCCCAACACGCTGAAAATTTGCGGTAATTCTTAACCACCTTGAATTTTCGTAGTACATCCAAAAACCGATGTAACTAAGTTGGTGATCTAATCAGAAACTTTCGATAATTCATCACGAATGGATGGACGCACCTACACTATACAAATAAAGTCGATAAAATTGGGGACCAACACGAATGCTATGACCTTCCCCACTTTGTAAATCTCAGATAACTTTCAACTGCAATGTGACACAACTTCCATCGCAAGGGTGAGTAGCCGTTTCGTAGCAGGAAGGCTCAATGCAGAAATACGTTGAGCAGAACACACGGAATGAGAAATAGGTTTGGGATACGAAAACGCATATAAGGTAATGCGCTAGTAATATGCATGGAGTGTAACACATACTTTTTTCGTACTTTTAGAAAGTCTGAAGAATTGGTATGCTAGAAAATCGCTGCAAACTGTCTTGAACAAGCTAATTATAGAAGAAGTTCGACCTACAGAGGATCTTTAGGGTTGCATAAAAAAGTGACAATGCTTCCACAGGTCGCCAGAAGCACAGGCTACAAGAAGATCTTCGATATGTCTTGTTGCTGCGCTTCATCAAAGGGTGAGTAGTGAACTTATGTCGCTTTAATCACTGTCCCGAAATAGGATTTTTAAAAAACTTTCCATGTTTTAGTCACAACAATCTGTCTTAATAATATTCTATTGGACAAAGTTGAGAACTATTTTATGTGGTTATCTTTTCGTAATACCAAAAACGAACGAACTAATGAGTTCATGGGAACCGTGATGCCATTGGCCATATCGACTACTATAGATATCGACTATTATCATCAAGAACCCACAAGTTGAACTCGGTAAAAGTTAAAACCGTCTGCACAGCTAGGTCGACTTTCTCACTTTCGATTATTTATGCGACGTATGAACACTTTGAAGTCACACAGTGACCTTGCGCCCACGTCTATAATGTCGATGAATTGAGTGAAACTACTAAAACAAAGTTTTCATTGAAGAAGAAACCATCGATATCCCTCAAATTGAAGGGATAAGAAGATGGGAAGAAGGGGCTCCTTGAACAACCCATGGCCCAGGATCGAGCAAGTGACAACATGAGTATAGTGATATTTCTAACCACTGCGCTATACCCACATCAATGGTGAGCTATTATGAATGAGATGAGTACAGTCACCTTCGTCTAGCAGTTGTCGACAATATGCAAGACAGTTGCTCAGTGCATAGAAAAGCTGTCTGTTTTCTTTCTAATTCGCCCACAATGGAGAATCATTCATGTAAGAACTTTTTGTGAAGTAGCCTCCACAGGTTGACAAAAATTCATCACTATCCTGAAGTTCCAGTAGTGTAAGCTAGCAAGTGAAAAATCTCTTTACGGACCGTGTTGCTGCAACAGCAGCAGGATTTCCAGTTGACCGGTGCTCTGTGGTTCGATAGGCACGGTTTTTCTGTAGTCCCGAAATAGTATTCTCAGATTCTTACCATGTTTTATGGATTGCAGCGAAACGTACAACTAGGTTTCTTTCAGGAAAAACACCATTCCTTGCTTATTCGCACTGAGGCTTCAAAATATTTACACCGATCGCTTTAATAAGGGTTAGGAAGAAGTCGAAAAATTTTGAACCGTAAATTAACTTTGTGTGTATTAGGAGGAATAGTACCCAGTGGATTTTCGATCACGAAGAAAGCGCTCCACATTTACCGCCGACCTATGAGAACACGAATAGAAAGCTGAATGAAAAAGCCGTTAGAATCACTTCAGTGAGGAATTTTCGTGTCTAAAAATTTTATTAACAAAATCGATCCATTGGTTAAGTTAGAAATTCATCCCCATATGTCTTATTAAAAGTCCTTTGTTTTCGTTTTCATGTCGAATCCGCAAACCACTCAGCTGATGTGTGACATAGATTTTTTATATACGAGCCGTCAATATTAATTTTGATTTCTCAAATCAATGTGGCAAAGAACACGTGTTCCACCATCTCAATAGAGCACATCACTGACGTCGGCGATTTGACAGCTAATCAAGAAGAATAGAGAACGAATGTTCGAGGAGGACACCAACTGGTTCGTTGGAGAGCAAATCGACCTTGAGGAAAACCATTAGAAATATGTAAATGCGTTTGTCGATGGCGTGAACCGGCTGGCTAGAGCCCAACTGGATGTCTTTTCGTGTATCCTGTTCGCAGACAGGTTACCGGTCATACGGACTTAACAATATGGTTGACAGTTCAGAACGTAGTCACTTTAAGGCGATCGGACTACAGGACATTACAGCGTGCAATTTGTTTAATTTCCAAACATTCGTCGCTATTTTTGATTCCACCAGTAGAAAATGCTTCTTGTGTAAGGATACCTGAAACTTTATCACGGGACGACGTGTGCGATATGCAGAAGTTCTGACGGTGGAGGCTAAACCAGAGATGGAGAATCGTGGTACGGCCGAGAGGCGCTTCATCTAAAACTTTGTACCAAAGGAAACAAAAGTAAACAAACTAGCTGTAATTTCTGTCTCACACTTGAAGAATCATTTTAGTAGAAGCACTTTACTGTTACCTATTCCTCTCGAGTATTTAACAATCTTTCCTCACTTGATTTCGGGTTGTGCAAATTTAAATGAAAAAAAAGAATAGTTTTCTATTGTACGCCAATTTAGGCACCCTCAGAATGCAAACTACATGTATGAAAAGGCAACCTCACAAAGGATTTAAGACTTTATACAATAGATTTGGTCAGATCAAAGCTGAAGAAAAACTGACGGAGTAAGGAGCCCTCAAACCAAAATCCCATAAAAATATCGTTTCGAGACATAACTGAAAGTGCTGGCTTGACAAGAAAGCCCCTTTAGGTCCAAAAAAGCCTGCCCTTGTCTCTGCACTTAGCTTTCCTTTTTGAAACGAGTAAAAAAAATTTTCAACAACAACATCGTGTCAATTTGCAATGAATAGGGGAATTTACTAAATTTTTCTTGAATGGAAGCCGTCTCAAATAGAATATTGCTTTTCACAAATACATTTTCCACTTGTGACAAAACAAAAACTTTCCAAATAATTATCTAACACTAGTATAATGCTGAGATATTTGCAAAACTCCGGATCGCAGGTGTCTGCGGTGGGAAACGAACGCGCTGTTGTCCTTTTCGCGTAGTAACGCGTCCACCTCCACACCATGCGAAACCTTCGTTTCGCCTGTCTCTCAGCTAGTTCTATCGATATTTTGCCATCAGCAATCACCCGTCACCCGTAGATAATACCCGTAGAACTAGCTGAGAGACAGGCGAAACGAAGGACCCGCATGGTGTGGTGGTGAACGCGTTACTCTCCGGCAAGGACAATAGCGAGTTCTTTCCCCACCGCAGACACCTGCGATCCGGAGTTTTGCAAATATCTCAGCATTATAGTAGTTATATTTCGCAAAATACCCTGCCGTTAAAAAGAATAGGCAGTAAATAAAAAAGTATCTGACACTATTCAGCTCTTTGCACGAAACATAAACATTACATAAAAATGCCTCACCTTAACGTAGGACTGTGGTCCTTCAGTTACTCTCTGCGTGTTGGTGTTCTTCATTGATGGGCATGGAGCTGGTCTTCTTAAGCTCATCGGAACAGCTCGAAATGGAATGATTTTTGAAATTTTCACCGGTTCGCCTGCCTTATTCGACATTTTCATGGCTGAATGCTTCGATTTTCCAGCTAATGTCGTTGTTTCACCAGCAGTGTTTTCCAGCGGGCGACTTGGCATAGGTAAAGATATGGTAATCATCTTCATGGCGGGTGGGGACAGCATACCAATGGAAACTGGTATTTCCAATTTTGCCACTTTCATTGTATTCCTTTCTTTTTGTGGGATTAACTGTGGAAATTTCGAGGATATGTTGTTGGCAGGTTGCACCTTCCTCAAGGACATCGACTGCGTTTCAACGACAGAACTCGTTCGAAGAGCTCCAAACTCCTTTGTATCCTTCGAAACTTGCTCTGTTTTTCGTGATGACTCCAAAAGTTTTGGTTTTCGAGTGGATTGACGGTAGGAAAATGTTTTGTTCGATGGCGTCGATGGTGCTGAGTATTTCGGTGTCACAGACATTGTTGAAACCGATGAAGAATGAGGTTCATTCTCCTCTATGTGTGTGAGTGTGATCGTGGTTGTCTCAATGGCGGTTGTGCTATCTTCTTTTGCAAATGTGGCAGAACTTTCATTTATGACTGACACAATTGAAGTGTTTGTTTCCTTACTAGATTCAGTCACGTTGTTATCCATCTTTCCGTCCTTATCAGAATCCTGGTCCTCCTCTTTCACCTCGTTATCGTGTTGAAATGTCTTTACACCATCAAAGACGGAACGGACGGCTGAAAATAAGTGGTTTAGACATAAATTTGAGTTCGTGTTATAACCATTTACGAATTGTAAGAAGTTTGGTTCACAAAGTCTAACTAGGAAGAAGTGTAAAATTCAAGGTTTTGGAGGCAAATGAATGCGTTCGGGCTATTAGCGAATCTTCCTGAACGAGTGTTTATCTGGCCAAAAAAAACTGAAGAAAGTACTAACAAAGATTTTTCGTTCTGCTAAATTCCAATGATAAAACTCACACTTTTTCCCTATAGTAGAGGCGTTAGTTTTAAATTGTTGAAAAACCGCCTTCCGATCCACAGGAAGACCTCCGTGGAGTTGTGGGCCAGAGAGTGTTTGAAATGCACCAAGCAATTCATGTAACGATAACCCAGGCTGAAAACCACCAACGAATCACTTCTCTGGAACACTGTTTTTTAGAAGAAAATGGTAACAGGAGACAAGACAACGCTGGCAGTTTTGTATTGAAGCAATCTTAAGGTGATTTTATATCGTTTAGGTAAAAAAAAGAAGAAGGCAGTGTAAAAAATGGAAATAAGAAGGACGAGAATGTTCGCTGCAGGGAAAGCGCTGTTAAGTGAAATGTCTAGCATTTTTCACTGCTCAGGGAAGTTCAGGCGCAACCACCAAGCAATAGTTCGTTCTAGAGCGAAATGCATTGTCTTAGAAATGGAGAGGAAACTTTCACGAACTTAAATTTTAGCAAAAGCGCCAGATAATAAAAGATAAGTTCGATTTCAACTCACTGATTCCTTTTCCCTCTCTTGAATCGTTACGGACATGCTATAACATAGAATCCATATCGTCTTTCTTAAGGTTCGAAAAGAAAAATACAACCCTATCATACCTTTCTTTCCCAGAAGAGTATAGAATGATCACCACAAACATCGACACTTTAAGAATAGCCACCATGGCTCCTGATACGAAAATATTAGACATCCCGTGAAGATAGTGGTTTAAATAAACTATAGACAAAACAACTGGAGAAGTGAGTAGAGTTCCATTCTCAAAACCAATTCGGTTCATGAAAACGAATTGAGCACCACACAAATATAGCAGATATATGGTGTCTTTTGTCAGTTGGGAGTTTAGTGGTTTAAACATTTAATTAGAAAACTATGAGTAGTGGTGGTGCTCTTGTCCACGCTGAGCAGATAAGGCGAAATGCGCAATCCAAGTGATCATCTCAAAGACTCAAAATCACTGTCTGTTTGAGTGGACATCATCTTTACCTACTGGCTACATTTTCACATTCACATTAGCTGCTGGGCAATAGGGAGATGTACTCGAGACGAAGTGGTTTCCGTGAAAGGTGAACGAACACTTTGCATGAGGAAAGACCAGTTGTAGACAAGCACCCGCAAATGGTGGGTTCTTGCCTCTGACCTCGACACGAACTTTGTATTGTTATCGAGGGCGATAACGGAAGCGACCTTATTACATCAGTTGAATGTAACGAGCTTTCATCGGCAAAATTGAACAACGTTCGCTTTTGCAGTCTACGAGGCGACTAGAAGGGGAGATTGAATCGAAAACACGTTAGAACGGCTTTGCGTTCATGTACCTTCGAGAATTAATGTTCTTCGCAGAAATAGCGAAGCAGAAATTATTGAAATTGGAGCGATTTGGCTTCAGAACAACAATCGGCCAGTTTTAGAGAGTGTTTTCATTAATTATTTTAACTGGTACTTACAGTGATAATTGTAATAGCCACTTCTCTTTGCCGCTCCTTAGCATGTTCGCGACGGCACGTGGATCTATATTATGTGAAAATAATGCCCGCTAGAGCTGCGGACTTCTACATATCAGTCCACAAAGAAGCTTACTGATTTAAAGAGAACCCAACGGAATCTGCAGATTTCACCTTGAAAAACTTGCTTGCCCTTTTGTCATACTGTTACGAAATTTTAATTTTCCGAAGCCAACGAAATGTTTCCTACGTTTTTGCGCTATGGTTCTTCTCTCTAACATGGAAGTAATTCTAGAACAAGGTTTCCACCGGCATGATACGATGCTACCCACCAAGGCCTCGCTGATTTTCGCGGCTGTGCAGTTTTTGTGGAAGTTTAAAAATTTAAATTACTTGCTTAACTATAACTAAACTGACTTGCACTTAACCTCGGTTTGAGTAGTCAATATATTTGTTTGAATTGTTCAGCATACACGAGATTGTTATACAGGTGCTTATAGAATGTTCACATATCTTTAAAATAGGGCAAATTTTCTTCTATAACATTATAAGCGTCTCAACTCCTTCAGTACTCTGTTAATGAAGAAGCCATCACCTGCTTTCGAAATGCCAACTTCGACGCGAATATTTTAAGGAGTATATATCCGAGGGATGCGACTAAACATTTAGGCCAGGAAGTTACTGCAAAATCCTTTGAAAAAGAAAAGACGACGAAATGAAACGCTTGCGTCGTTCATCTGACTGCAAACAAAAGCTCTCGGTTCTTCATCAATAGCATAGAAAAATGTGAAATAACTTCCACACGTCAGCGTTTCTCAAAAGCCGGTTGAGTCACGTAGAAGGCTTTGTAAACGCTATTACTCGTGGTACTCGAAATTAGTACATTGATCGAATAACTACAGCAATCTTCGCAAGTAACTCTGCAAAGAAGACCGAAACATATGCTCGAGATCGTTAACCATTCCGACCTCTGTTCAAAGTGCTCGTTTCTTGTTGAATACCAGCACTCCCCTTTGCTTCAAATCTCTCTACATTTTCAAAGAGCGCAGCAAAACTCGAAATGACTTTCCTTTGCTTTAAGATTGTGCAGAATTGAAGACGTTAGTGAAGCGGTTCCTAGTTTCAGACTGTAGCCACGGATTCAGTAATTCTATAATTACCGCCGAAGTGCTTCGACTATTGAAGCTTCAAGAATGGATCACGGCAAAGTCCTTCGACAAGCACTGCCGATTACTAACTTTTTCGCCTGTTCGTCTCACTGCTGCCTACAGTTTTTACTGTGGTATCTTGTAATTTTCGCTTCGAAACAGGTCTTTCTATAGGATCACAAAAAGTACTGTCAACCAACCATAGTGCATAACAAAAGCAAAAAATTTGGACCCTTCAGAAGTTTCCGCTGGCTTCCCGAAAATCGTCCTATTACACTTTCCATTTTATTTTATTTACACGTAAAGTAAACACGGGTATTTTGCTCTCAATATGCTTATAAGGCTGCTTTCTTCGTGGTTCAATGAGTTTCTAAGTGGTGTGCAGCACTGCCCCATAGTTTTTTGTTAATCATGTCTTCATGAAGACTTCACGAAAAAACTGTGTGCTCTAAAAACATAGATATTATTTCGGAGCAACGAAGGTCGAGATCTTTTTCATTCGTCCTAGGCAGACTAGCGAAGTTTTTGATACTACTAACGTCAAAGAATTCCCATGATCGCTTGTTCCATTTTCTTACAGGGTACGTTTCTTTGTTGACACAAGTAGGCTCACTTCTCATTTGCAACCGAAAATAAAAAATGAATTCCTCATGTGTCGTCTTCTTGTTGAGCGTTAACAAGGTTGTCATACAGCATAAATTTACTTCTAGACAAAAACACTTACAGCACAACAACAGCTTACGTTTTGGCAGTATCGTCTTCTTCAGAGCCTCGAAGGGTGTGCTGACAAGCAATATACTGCGCCATCGCTTCAATGACACAAACAGAAAGATGAGGATCTAAGTGGTAATCATATGGTCAACAGCTTCTTGAAAAATCCACCGTTTTTACGTACCTTCCACTAAAGAAGAACCATTGATTAGAGTCAAACATGTTTGAAGATTTCACCACCCCACATCAAAAACCGATGTGAAGGTACGGGCGAAATCACGTGAGATCTCTCCAAGAATTCCTCTCCGCTATTCATTCTAGAATTTTTGGCATTTATCCATAAAGCCTCCAGAAGTTAATGCGTTGGTGCTTGGGCGTCCTTTGTAAGGATAGTGACTTTTATACCAAAATTGTGCAAACTTCTTGAGGCTTTATGGATAAATGCCGAAAATCCTACAATGAATAGCAGGGAGGAATTCCTGCAGATCTCGTATGATCTCGCTCAGTACTATCGCGTCGGTTTCTGATGTAGGGTAGTGCAGTCACCAACCATGTGTTACTGTAATCAGTGGTACTCTTCCTCAGTGGGAGCCACGTAAAAACTGTGGGTTTTCCGAGAACCTGTTGACTATTTGATTTCCATTTAGGTTTCCGTCTTTCTTTTGGGTTATTGAAGCGTTTGCCGCAGTAAATTGCATATCAACATACATTTCCATAGGGTGCGTGTGGCGCAGTGGTTGGGGCGCCACCGCGACACACACGTGGAATCGATCCCGCACCCGTGGCCCACCAAGCCCACCATCCCTTCGAGGTCGGCACCTCGGCACCCATTGGCACCAGAATTGCCTTGGAGGATAGCAGCACTGGCTCGATACATCGGTAGGCCACCGTGAGTCATTGTAAAGGCCAGATATGCATTCAATCACCTCCAACGTTACTGAATGGAGTCGATTGCATGGCGCAACTCTCAAGGATTGATCAACGCCGAGAGGTTTATCCTCTTTTATACCCTTCCAGACTCTGAAAAAGGCGGTATTGCCGAAGCGTCAGCTGCTGTTCTGTTGTACATGTTTTTGTATGGAACTAAACGTAGGCTGTATTGCTCGGGATTGCTCAATGAGAAATCGACACATTTATAATCAAAGGCCAAGGTGAGTAGTAGGTCCATCATGGGAACTGAGTTTCTGATGTTAATATCTAGCGTAATCTCATGTTCAATTTATGTCGATATATTAAGATATCAAAATTTTACGGATGGGTCAAAAGCAACGTTTCACACGTCTACAATGTTCTTTCCATTTTCGACTTTTTCAATTGTGCAGCATTTTGTGTTATGAAAACTGGCAAGAACAAGATCGACATCACAATTTTAACTTATTATTTACTGCCTACTTCTTTCAACAGCAGAGTATATATTGCTAAATATAACTTTAATGATGCTGAGACATTTGCAAAACACCGGACCGCAGGTGTCTGCGGTGGGGAACGAACGCGCTATTGTCCTTTCCGGGGAGTAACGCGTTCACCACCACACCATACGGGTCCTTCGTTTCGCGTGTCTCTCGGCTAGTTTTATTGATCTTTTGCCATACGCAATCACCTGTCAGCGGGATTGATCTAGGGAGTCCAAATCGGCAACGAACCCAGTTAAGCTGGTGATTGCTGATGGCAAAAGATCAATAGAACTAGCTGAGAGCCACGCGAAACGAAGGACCCGCATGGTGTGGTGGTGAACGCGTTACTCCCCGGAAAGGACAATAGCGCGTTCGTTCCCCACCGCAGATACCTGCGGTCCGGAGTTTTGCAAATATCTCAGCATCATTAAAGATCGATATCGTTATCCCAGATTTTCTCACTTCCAAAGTACTACCGATAGCAAGTAGCACTAATATGGTGGGCTATCATTGAAAGTGTGGGAAAGCAAATAGATTGTTAACAAAAGTTACTAAGCGCTGATAGGATTTTGTTTTGACTATTTACATTTCTTAAAAACTTTCCCTGCGGTGCATTTGGCAAGAAGTTGATCAAGAAAACCTCTTCAGCAACTGGACAGCTCGTTAATAATTGCTCTCAGAAGCAAGCACAGCTGCACTTGATCTACAAACAAGTAACCTTTCGATGGTGTATAGTTCCGTTTAAAAGGGATTGTTTCATTACTCAATATTTTTCGCACTATCGAAATTGTGTTTGGCTCTCAAGAAGCTGTCTGGTCCAAGCTAGTAATCACACAACTAATTCTTTCTGTTTATTCTTGGAGATTTCAGGATCTTTCATAGCAATGTCCCAATAAAACTCGAGATAGATTTTTATAATAGACTTTGAAGTCCTGGGAGGAAATATAGCAGTACAGTTTGATGAGATGAGAAGTGAAACGTGTGAGACACCGTATGATTTCCTTTTCATTTCTTCTCGGGTCGATTGTATCGCTTCATGATCTTCTTCACGTTTTGCAAGTAGAACTGCTTTGTTTGCTGATGTACTGGGATGTCGAAAATAATCGGACTATTCTAAAACACAAGCATTTTAACCACGAATGTAACCAAATAATCCCTGTTTTCTATTGCTGTTCGATAAAAAACCACGTTGGCCTGTTAGCAAAGAATATAGCTATAAAGGTAATGTTGGGCACTGATAATTCCCTGAGGGTGCGCCACACATTCGATTCTCTTAAATGACGTAGTAGTGGACCAATATTTGGTCTAAACAATCACTTGCGGAAGCTTACTGATGTGTTAACTCAGTGATGCTATCCTCCCAGACCAGTCTAGCACCAATCTCCGACCCGCGAAGATTGGTGCATCAACGAGTGGACTGTTTACACCGGAAGAGGAAACTAACCAACAACCATGTGTACATTGCAGGACACCTACAACCACTACGCTACATCCACCCTCTTGACATAACACCTGGTGAAAGAGTGCTTTGACCCAACTTTCCTCGAATTGCTATATTTAATAGGCGTTTACACAATCTGGTTAACTTGATGGCTCTTCAGTATTATGGTTTGATACTCGCATCGACCATCTTCACAAAAAATCGTGAGCATCCTAGCACAAATTTTCCATTTGGTTCTGGTATAGCAAGGTTTTTCTTTGCAGTCCAGAGAAAGCCTGTTTTGGTACTGTCCGCTTGAAAAGTAGTCGTGAAAGCCGTGGATAGGAAAATCTACGTGATTCTTGACAATGGTTTATTCCGGCTAGAAATGAATGTGGGGATGTTAAACTCTTCTACTTGGGCAGCCGTTTTAAGAGAGCGAACTACCAACAGTATAGATAGGAGTCACACCCACGAAGATTTACCTCAAACGGTGAAGTGGTAGCTCAACAAGGTGGACACTTAGCATTCACATCTAATCCGAGAATTGACAAATGAACATTTAAATATTTGGCTCAAGAAACCTTAAAATTGTCTTAAAAAACCTGTATCAATTTCGGGTTTTTCACGTTTACGAGTTGTTTGTACCTTTACCTGAACAAATTTGGAATAAGAGTCCTCATATCGGAAATGTACTCGATACTTGATACTTGATACTCGATACGTGAATTGCAGGTCCTCACTAGTTGTGCGGGTCTCAGGATAATCTCCATTTTTCGAAGATTTGCTGGTTAAGCCATTGCGGTTGAGTGGAATCCCGAGGTCATCCTGCCCCAAAATCTACCCCAGGTCTTCACCATCACAGTCAGTCGCAGCCCTTGTGGATCAGAGGAAGATTTGCCACCATGTGACTTTGAGGACGGTGGTGGATCCTGGTATTAGTTCCTGGTATTAGTTTATTCTTAGCCAGACTTCCTGATGGAAACGCAGGACTCCTTCTCAGATTGAGAGACCCTACCAGGGGTTGAATTCTCCCACTGTGCATCGCAGTCCAACACCCAGGAACACCTCCAAGTCACGAAGAGGCGGTAAACCGTTAGAAGGATCGGAGATGCAACTTGCTAGAAAACAAACATTCAATTTGGTGGTTTTCAATAAGGACAAACAGAGCGACCGGAAAGCTCATTTTTGTCATTTACCCAAAAAGCTACGAGAAGTTGGCGCGTTGGTGTTTGGGCATCTTGTGTGAGGGTAGTGACTTTTATACCAAAATGGTCGATGCCCAACCACCAATGCGCAAACTTCTTGAGGCTTCTTGGATAAATGCCAAAAAAACCTAGAATGAATAGCAGGGAGGAATCCCCACAGATCTCACGCGATCTCGCCCGGTACCCTTGCATCGGTTTTTGATGTGAGTTGGTGCACTCATCAGCCATTTGCAACTCTAATCAGCTACAATGCTGCTGAGATATTTGCAAAACTCTAGACCGCAGGTGTCTATGGTGGTGAACGAACGCGCTATTGTCCTTTCCGGGGAGTAACGCGTTCACCACCACACCATGCGGGTCCTTCGTTTCGCCTGTCTCTCAGCTATTTCTATCGATCTAATCAGCTGTTCTTTTCTTCCTCAGTGGAGACAAATAGAAATAGAAATAGAAATAGAACAAATAGAAAAAAGTGTGCTTTTCGAGAAGTTGTTGATCATACGATTGTCATTTAGATTTTCGTTTTTCTGTTTGTGTTATTGAAGCGTTTCGTTTGGTGGTTTTCAATGAGGACAAACAGAGCGACAGTAAAGCTCAGAAGACATGAAAACCAAAATAACTTGAATGAGGAGTGAGGTGGGGTGCTTGTAGGCTTCAATAATTTTTTATGCCTCTTAGACAGAATTTATAGATATCGTAACTACTACTTTTGTGTGAAGCTACAAAAATGGTTGGGAAATCACAGCACTTCTGCCGTTTCACTTTTCAACATAACATGAGACTCACCGTAGCGATTAAATTTTCGTCACATATACAACAATTTATGAATTTAGTATAGCCGTCAGAAGTGCAGCCATAGCCTGAAAACAAAAAGCTGATGAAGGCGAGTCAGTTGTTAGAACACCAAAAAACGCAAATCTCCTGCAATACACCAAAATGTACGGACCCTCATGAACATGTGAGAAAACGTGGTACTTCGGCTTGATCCTCTTGCAAACAGAATTCAGCAATTCCACACAGCCCAAACGTCGTCCGTCTCGCATCTTATCGCCGTGACCTTAATTTGAACACGGTGGAGACCGACACGAAAACCATCTACTAATCACAATAAAATCAACCTCATCTTCAAAATCGCTGATCCAATTTCAGGTTGACTCAATAGATTGTTAGAAGGCCGTAGGTACTTCGAACTGACATGGTTAGAACACCGGAAAATGTAACAAACGGTTTACCTAGAGGCGGGGTGTGAGTTAGCAACACATCAACAGCGGCTGGAATTTGGTTCCATTTCTCGAGCAGAGCCTGACCTCTCGTCAGATTGAATGCCCAGTTATCAAGTCGAGGTTGCCTAGAATGTTTCATTTTCTTGGCAAAGCTATGAGAATCGAATAATTAAATACAATGCTGGTTTCGAAACAGATCGCCGCTGTCGATTCATGCATTACGCAAAGTCCACATGAAATAAGAGGTTTTGAACGTCGGATCTAACATTTCGGGTCCATAGTTAGTCTACTGCTCGGTAAAGGTTGTTCGTATCACAGCATTATACATGATACTTGATATTTGAATGGCCCGCCCTCACTGGTTGTGTGAGCTCCAGCGCAATCTGCATATTTTGGAGATTTGCTGGTTAAGCTATTGTGGTTCCCTGGAATCCCGAGGTCACCCTGGCCAAAGTCTATACCAGGTCTTCACCACCGCAGGCAGTCGCAACCCTTGTGGATCAAAGGGAGATTTATCACCGTCCGACTTTGATACCACGGCGGTGGTGGAAACTGGTATTGGTTTACTCATAGCCAGTCTTGCTGATGGAAACGCCGGACTCCTTCTCAGCTTGGGAGACCGTGGCAGGGGGATGAATCCCCTCACTGTACATCGCAACCAGACACCCAGGAACAGCTCCCAGCCACGATGAGGTGTAAATCGTTGGGAGGATGGCAGCATAATAGAAAGCAGAATTACAAAAACTTACCATGGTGTGCCATAGATAGTGATGCCAAATAATTCAATCACGGAGTCCTCCAAATAGATAGCATTCGTAAGCAACGACTTTGAAGAAGAAATTTTTACCGAGGACAGAGAAGCTTGTAGAGCCTGCTTCAATGCCAATTCTTTTGCTCCAACCTCACGTTCTGAATAAAAAGTCACTGATGGAATTCTAAAAAGAATGATTTTTTGAACTGATTGGGGATAATCGGATAGCCAAAACCAGTTAATGACGAGCTATATTTCATTGAGTCGGGATGATCTGCTCGAAAAATCTGGATCTTCAGGATATCCAATAAGATATACTCACTTGATCGTAAAAATTCATCATCAAATGTGCACTCGTGATTTCCAGCAATAACAACTTTGTACGCGTGTTTAAGACGTCCTGAACAAGTCATTCTTTGAGATAAATAGATCAGATAGATGATTAACGAAACTTAATGGGAGGACGGCTGTCGAAAATTCACGCAGACCAAAAATCTCTGAGCACAGTTCACATCACAAAATATGATCAAAATTTAATGATCTGATACATGCTGACTAAAGAACTCTTGTAGAAAATTAAGAAGTAAGCAATTCAACCTTATACTTCTCCTCGATCAATATCCAAGTTCGACCTCTGGCTAACCTATCCAACATCATGCACTTAAAACGGCGTTCAAGATGAACATACGTACCGAGTTTTTTATTGAACGAATGTACTTCACTCGGCAAGCCACAGTTGGTGAAATCTCCTGCGACTAGGAGAACATCACCAGGAGGAACACTAGCCGGGTCAAATTTTACTCCGTGAGTGCATCCGATACAAACAAATCGTGCATGATCAGGCTTTATCGGTGTGTCTAACGTCATCTGTAGTATCAAAAATGAAATGAGAGTTGGAAAGGCAGATGATGCGAAGACCTAACCTGCCTGACCGGCTTCACCGGTCGTTTCTCCTTCAGCATCTCCCATGCTAGAGTCGGATCTGCAGTGTACTGATGTGTATATACCTGAATTTCTCAGTATTTACAGATTAAGGCGAAAAATACGTTCATCTCACCTGTAATATCGGAAAGTTGAACGAATGTTACAGTTACATAATTATTTAATATCAAAAATTTCAAGACGAAATTTTTCACTAATTCAGTCGATTTGATGTGGTTTTGTTCACCCCAGTACTAAAAGGTGGAAGCTAACAACTAAATATGAAACGACGCTCCCGTTTGTGTCTAAGCTTACAAAGTTGATTAATTATTAACGAATTTTGAAAAGTGGAGTGGAACACAACTATTCATGTCGTCTACTATCATACTTCCAAAGTCATCCTTCAACAAGTAAAGCTCAAACAATCATGGCGAAATTTTATTCGGTCCGCCAACGCTGTATTCGTGGAGCATCCACATCGACAGTAGTTGTACGATTTTTAAGCGATGCCAAAACAGTGAGAAAGACAGGAATTGGATGTGTTGATATAAACTTACGACAGCTTCCACCTCAGCATCATTTTGTAAACATAAACTGGATAACCTTAGTTTTATTGATGAGCTTAGCGTCATATCGGGTGGTTGCGAACGGAAGAGACCGCTCTGAAGCATGGCACTATAAATGAGGGTTCAACAAGTAAATATCTCACAGTTGCTTTTGGTCCAACTGTTAGCGACCCTTTTCGTGAACCAATCTGTTTCAAGCGATTCGTTTGGGCCTGGGATTGGGTTTCTCGAGTTTCTGGACGGTCCTTTAGCGCTGAAGTGGCGCCAAAAAAGTTACTACTCGTTGTTAGCATATCTGCTGAAAAGCCATTCATTCCGATAAATATGTAATTCGCGAAAAAAAACCGAAAATTAGTCATCATGAAGTAGGCGAGATTTCAAAATTATCGGCCACAGATGATGTCACGGATGTAGCAGCAATTCACTACAGCGGAATCAAGGTCTATTCTTTTTCTTTCTTTTCTCGCTGCATTTTCGAATCTTTTCCGACTGGTGATCACTCGCTCAAAACCTCAACAATAAGCTTACAGTGCCAGATGACATGTCCGTTGTAGATTCAGTATTGTTTCAATACTTTTTCTTACAAAGGTAAAGTGTAGACAGATAAATTCCGCGGGAATTTCTGGCCAATTATCGAATTCTCTTCAAGAACGTTCCGTTCTAACAGCTTACTAAACGTTGCTTCACTGAAGTCGGAAGATATCGTGAATAGAAGTCATCATAGTAAAAGAAACCCAACACTGATAACACTTGCAATCGTTTATTGATAAGCTAGGAGGTTGATAGCGCCTTCCACAGAGCCGATTTTGAGACTCGCCGGTTTGAAATGACTGATACTACTACTTAAAGAAGAAAAAAGCATTTAAGTTTGAAACCACGTGAAAAGGTTATGGCTTGGCTAGAAAGGAAGAAATGATGAAAACTATGTGTATTTTGGCAGCCAACAATAGAATGTGCTAATGAAATCTTAAGGCATAATCTATTCGAAAACTTTTCTGCGTTCTGCGTTTGTTTACACGAAGCTACAATTGAAAATGAGAGACTACAGAGCGGAAGCTCACTAATGAAAATCAGGTTGCCACTTACCAGCTTGCACAAGTTATGCTGCGTTTTTTTCGTCATCAGAAAGCCACTCCATAATTCCTAAAACTACGAATCTTCTCCGCCGAAAATGTAACCAATCAATGACAGGGTAAAAGCTGTTCTGAGCAACGAAAAACTGTGCTCAACTCCTCATCAGCAGCCACTCTAAGGACGAAAATGTTATATAGGATTACTATACTAAACTAAGTGACGAATTAAGAAGTTTTTTGCTCCAGATAACCAGACCTCAGACCACCGATCAAGGCTGATGTGAAAACAAAGCTGCTCGTCTATCAAAGGACAGTAGTAGTGCACTTGTCGATCACAGCTGCACGTTGTTCATGGAAAAGCAACCAAACAGCAAGTAAATTTACCAACGATGTGTAATCGTCGTCTCAATAAATCTTCCTTTCGGATGTTTCTAATGTCCTTTCAGTACCAGAGATCAAAACATGTCAACATGAATGATAAACTTAGATTCTTCTTCTGCTTAATTGTGAACGTGCTGAGCAAAAAAGATATTATTCAGATAAAGATCTAAGACATTCTAAAGATGGATTCAATCGGTTATACGTCATATTAGTTCATGGAGAAATGATGAAAATAACACGGCATGTTCAACACTTTGGCAGCGCCTGTGTACATATTTGTTTCCAGTAGCTATCTTGGGCAGAGAGAAGAACCCGATATTAAAAATAGGTAAGAAGGAGTGTGTCTGCACTCATGAATCGTAGACAACCACCAGTTCACAAATGTATTCAAATGACACTAAAACCTGCGAAAGTTATACCATACTTGTTATGTCTAGACTCAGAGGGAAATGTAAAGCCCAGTGCCACCGATATCATCTAATGTACGATCACTGCATTCATCTTGAATCATGATTCTGGTGCTAGCAAATTACCACGCCTGAGAAAAAGTTTAAATTGTCAAAAGTGTGAGGAAGACTGCCGAATGGTAGCAATTACGATGCAAAAAGATTATTACTGGCGAGTTACAGCCGATCCCACAGCTGACGATTCTTAACGGTTGACATGACGATTTTACACAAAATCTAGTAAGAGATGAACTCTAAGCAAAAGTGGAGATAAAGATCAGTAATTCGTAGCAACACTAAAACCTTTTCTCCTCTGAAGCCGTTTCAAGACGAGTCGATTCCATGGCACGATTTATGCAATATCCACTATCAAATCAAAACCCAATCAAAACTGTTTTTTATCACTCAAAAGTTCTTTTCGATAGTTTTAAATCTTCGATCGACAAATGATTGGAAAAAGCACTGCCATAGTTTTAGAAGGTCTTTGCTTCCAACAAAAAGTAAAAAATTGTGAAAAGGTCGAATACAAAACGTAGCGAACAGCTGGAGGCAACAAATCACAGAGAATAGTGGCTTTACAACTGATGAGACCTTCACTCACCACTGCCAGGGCGTATTTATCTAGAAAGAATGAAAGTGAAGAGAAATCGACAAAGAAAACTTTAAAGCGCAGGAAAAAGCATAAACTACGACAAACACCTCAAGACCCACTTGTCCAAAAAGAAAATAACCTTAATATGTGTGTGCATGTGTGTACATCTGTGTATATGGCGTATGTAAGGCCGTAAATATGTATATCAATGTATGTATGGCTGTATATACGTCAGCATTTACGCATTTGTTTATATGTGTTCTGTGTGTGTTCTGTGTGAGAGAGTGAGTTGTTCGTATTGACTCTCGAGTTCAGCTGATTTGCGTTGCTGATTTCTAAAAGCAATAATTAGCTTGATGGGCTAGTAAGAATGTTATATTGGTTGTTTATTGCAATTTAAAATCTCAACTACCTTATTAAATCAGGGATTTCATTATTAGGTTCAAGGCAACGATCTGTAATGCCGCTATTCATAATCGACTCCAGTTTTCAAACAGTACTCTCAGTTGGGCCAGAAGCACAGTGTGGACTCATCTGTGTTTTCGCCGTTTCGGCGGAATGTTCCTATAGGCAGTTCGTTAGGGAGATCCTTTGCTCTTCTCGAAGCAAATGCGAGCGTTCCCTTCACATGCTCAATTTCCCGCACATTCCAAGCACTTCCCAAGTTAAACGGATATTGGCTGAATCTCAAACCTTTACCCATTCAATACGGTTAATTATGCTTACAAAAATGCATGATTACGCCAACAAAAGTGTCGCTTAGACATGGGAGGGAGAGCTAGACTATTCGTTGAAGTCACCAATTCTAAGTAATATATGCGCCTCCAAATGGTTCGCATTTAGCGCCTGGTCCTTCTCCTAAATAAGCGCCTTGTGAAGCGCAACAAAATGGATGGTGATGTTTCACATCAAAGAAATTTGTGGGATATTGAACTCGATTTAAAACTCGAAATTAACTACGTGGAATCACTGAAGTAGCTTTTCATTCTACTCATCAAACTTGCAAAAACTGGGCAGAAAGACCGGAAGCAATTTCCAATAACTATCTGGACATATATTTCATATTTTCAGCTGTTTCATTTTACATTTCATTGAGGAAGAGGCTGCGTAGTGGTTCGTAGTGGCATCGATCAGGAAGCAAGGATCAGAGTTGGACTCCCCTATCAACTCTCTCCTTCAACCCATGTGGGAGAGCCCTAGCCTGGTTATTCTCGAGATTGCAAGAAGGATCGGCTCGACCAGCATTCTACGACATTCATAAAAGAGGAGTGGAATATGAATGCGAGAAAAACGAATTGAATGCAAGAGGTTCTGAGATGCCAACAGTACAAGAGATCACCGATCTTGTAAAAAATTCTTCTTTACCTTTGTTTTAAAGAACTACTCTTTGCGGAAGCAATGCTCACACTATTTAGGAATTTCTAACGGTCGCGAGACTAAGTGGGCAGGAAATTGCTCTGCCTCAAAGTTCCAATAACTAAACAGTTTTTTCGTTAAGCAGAAATACCCGGGGGCTCAAATTCAAATCTACTAGATGGTTCAAGCAACTCTGACTATTGCACATTTTATCCGTGCGCCTACATTTTATCCGTAGGCAATGGTGAAATTGTTGTGATAAACACCCGTTAGCTACCAATTTTACAAGCAACTACCCCAAAACAAGGGCTTTCGTTTGGAATTCTCGAAATATCGATGTAGAGGCTGCTAATCGCTTGGAACGGATATAGTTAGCGAGAGCAGTCGCTGTGAACTCGTACGTGGACCATCTTTTTATAGAGAACATGAAACGACTCACATCCGTTGAGAATTTACGTCTTGTTTTCATCACGAAACACCTGCGATCATTTGGTGTATTCGAATCCGTGATAAGAAGTAGAGATGGGCCTAAAGTATCCAATATGTTGCTTATCGAATTCTGTTCCAGATTCTATTTGGAATGTATTAGATGATTAATAAAACAATAATTTGAATTGATCCGAGCAG